CCCCAAAACCCCAAAACCCCAAAACCCCGCTAGTTATTTATCAATTTTAAGTGAGTTATTAAGAATTAGTTTGATATTTTAATTTAATAAAATCAAGGGAATCCTCGAGATCAAAATTATTAAGCTAAATAAAATGAAACAATACTTGGAGTCCAAGGTAAGAAACAGAGATTATACACCAAACAAATCAATTAAATCTTTTTATGCTAAAAAGAGTTCAGTAGCCTCAACATTCGATTAAACCTAAGCTTTTAATACCCAAAATTCCTATTTTACAAATAATGACACTGAAAAGCATGCAAAGCTAATAATATTTGATGCCTCTGATAAATTAAAATTATAAGCTATAGTTACTTCAATGAATAGACATAATCTGTACAGCCGAACTGATTATTCACCGTAAAAGCAGTAGAGCACTTTTAGCGTTTCAACCTAACAACAGTTTTTTAACGATTACCCAGTTAATTACAAAAAGATTTCTCAATAGAAAAGGAGTAGGAACGATTAACTTGTAGAGAGTCAGAAATTGTAGGAAAAGAAGAGAGCTTAAACCAGTATGATGATGGGAAAGAGAAAGCTCTCTTAGGCGAGACAATTTGAAATTAGAGATAAATTATTGCTAGAGGACTGCTTAAATAAAAGTGTAGAATCATTGCTTGAAAAGAGAAACAAATTCCTAAATAAAACCTAGGACATCAAGTCATAAGAATATAATTAACATTAACTGCAACAGCACACTTATCATTCCAATAAATTTAAGGAAACTAATTAGGACGACGAAGACATTTCGGACAATACGTTTCATAAAATAATTCATAACCTTAACGTAATTTAATTTAAACTTTAATTCATTTTATTTGGAATAGAGCCTAGATAGACCTAAAAAGAATAATTCTGTTTTAACAAAAGCATAACTCTATGTATTGATTTCATGAGTTTTTTTACAAATTTAATTTAGCTTGATAGAATGAGGGAAAAAAAATGGCTAGATTCAAGACAAAATTTATAAATCTCTCCTTTCAAAATGAATTAAACATAAGTCTTAAGTAGAGGAAAAGAAGTGTCTAAGCTGTCTTTATAAGAAACGGTTTGAGAAAGTGTAATACATTAATTAGCGATATTAATCGAAAATTATAGGTTGAAAAGAGAATTTCTAAAAGTAAAATGGACGAGAGTTTATTGATGGCAGAGAAAATATTTGATCAGTGGCTTAGAGACTACAAAATTAGCTTGATTGATAATGATACCTTGCCTTTTAATGATAACAGGTCACTTTTTTCGATTGGAATCAATGATACTAATGGGATTCCAATGTCAGTAATTTTAAAGAACTTCCTTACTCTAGGTTTGGTACCAAACTAAAAGATTTTTAGTATAATGGTAATCCTAATAAAATTTATAATCAATATTTTAGTTGAAAAACGTCTTTGAATCATAGTAGTGTAATAGGACTAATAAATATTAGGCTAATGAAAAAAATGGCTAAGATCCTTCCTCTATTATCTTCAAAGAGTAATTCCTCTAAATATTCAAAAGTGGTTCTAAGATTGATAAAATTTTAACGATAATCAAAGATGAAGTACAGAAAATAAAAGATAAAGACATAAATAAAAGAAATTATGACAAGTTGCAAAAAACTCTCAAAGAAAGCCTTGCTGATAGTTTTAATGGACTCATTAATCTTAATATTGACACATCACAAGGTCTCAATTTGCAAAATCTTTAACAATAAAGGAAAAATCTATCTCCAAAAAAGAGAGCAACTATTGGAGATTTAAGTAAAATTTTAACTACTAAATTAAGCAATCTCTCATTTCTTAAGAATAAACATCCATCCACTTTGAAGTATTTGATTGAATATGACACTGATGAAGATGATGATAAGGCTCATAATAAGCTAATCAACTTTATAAAACGTTGCTCAATCTAGAAAAATTAAGTTATTGCAAGGAATTCCCCAAGATATTATTAAAATAATCCTTATAGTCCTATTAAAGATCCAAAGCACACTTTTATCAATAAAAATAAGCAAGCCTCCCCTTTTCATTTAAACAAGTAGCACAGTTATATCAGAAGGAGAACCAAGATTAATGATGGATTTCTTGATAATTCTAGTAAGATTACCACGATGAATGAGGGTATAAAAGAATAATCAGATTAGCAAGATGAATTCGTAAATAGGCTGAAAATGGTCAACAAATATTACTATGAACGTGAAAGGATTAAAAAAGATATCAGGGTTTTAAAGAAACAGATAATTTATCATGAAATAACTAGAGATATAAGCTCTTTAAATAATCTGGTTAATCTAATATCCTAAAATGATAAAATAGATGGCTAAAACAAAAAGTAGCTAGACTTAAGAAAGAGTTTATATGACAATTTGTTTGATCAACTTTAAAATTTGAAAGAAAAAATAGGAAAGGAATGTAGAGATCTGGTATTAACAATTATAACATTAATACCTTTAAAGTATGAAGAGGTCAGAGACTTTTCTAATCCAATAGTTCTCCCACTAATGTAACTTTTAGTCTCAATGCTTTCAGATAAACTTGAAAAAGATGATAAAAATCTAGAATTTCCTAATGAAGAAATAGGACCAATGTTTTAAATTATTGAGAAATGGTGGGCTTAGATGGATCCAATGAAAATGCAAGTAGTGCCTAAGGAAAAAGTAGAGAATTTTCTATAGTCTAAGGGAATATTAAATGATCCAAAGGAATTAGACTCCATAATAAGGTCATATTTTCCAAAAAATTAACTCTTGACCGATAACACTATCAAGAAAAGTGTATATATGAGGATCATGTCTTGTGCAATTATGAGAGGAATGCTTATTAATTTAAATTCCTTTTTAAATCTATCACAAGGAACAATTCAAAGTGAGGAGTAATCTCTTAATTTAAAAGTTTTGAAACTTCAGAGAATTATTCTTATGAAAGGTATCAAAGCTAAATCTAACATTGGAATTTATCACAAGGGAAAGATTTAAAAAGATGGACTTAGCTTTGCATGTGCTAGTATTGTTGATAATTTGCAAAATATATATTAGTCTAGCAAAGGTGGAGTAGACTTTAAAAGGTAATAATAACCTATTTGTAAATAAATTTTTATAGGGCTAAAAACAAAATAGAGAAAGATATTTAAGGACTATAAAAGCTTAATACTGAGTTAAAGCTGAATGAAAATCAAAATTAAGACAATCCTTAAAAAGATTAAAATGCTGATTTGACTGACAATGACGATAAATTAAACAACTCAGAACTTTATGACAATGTAGAGGATGAGGATGAAAGCTTATTTTAATACTGTGATAGATAGAGCATTAGAAGGAATAAGTAAAGTTTTTGAATTCATTCTAATATCATTTTAGGAATCCAATCTTTGATAGCCTAGATAGTGATGATTTTGATTAATTGATTAATGAGTAAGAATTGGAATTTTCATAGGCTATGATTGATAAGATGTAAATTAACGATTATTAATAAAATTGTTATTATAGTCAAAATAACTAGCATGCTAAGAAAAAGTTTCTTATCCCATAGCTAAGAGAACTTATGAGAAGTGGCTTAGAAAATAGAAACTAATCTGCTATTGGGAAAAAGAGAATTTCACTAATTGATCGTTAGAAAATCAGGCTTATGGTTAACACAAGTTTATTGAATGAAAGTCATGAAAGCATTGAAATTGATGACCTTGAGCAAGCCAACATGAACTTGAAACTAAATTTAATATGATTTGAATATATCACTTTGAGATTTAAATTGCCTATGATTAAGTAATATTAAGCTATCTAATTATTAATTTGACATAATGTTGATTGAAATTTCTGGTAATTATTTTGACCAGGTATAATCAGATGAGATTAGTAATTATAACAGTTTAAAATTGCTATTGCTCGAACTAAATTAATAAATATTTCTAAATGCTTAAAAAGATTGAAAATTTAATCCATAAACAAAGATAATCATCTATCTCTAGTAGTTCAACTGCCTCATCATAAGGTAGCATAAACTCTGGAAAAGGATGGAATATATTCAGATAAGCTATTGCTCAAAAAGATAATGCATTACCATAATTCGAATCTCCTGCTCTAGAAAATATGAAGATGGATCTAAATTTAAATAAACTCAACTCCAGATTATTGAATTCAATATCTGGAAAAAGCTCATCCTCAATGGAAGCACCCTCAAATTTAGCTTATGATTCATATCAAGGTCTCCTAGCTACATCAAATGAGCCCGGAATGATTCAGATATTTGATTTGTAGGGCGAAAGAAAATAGAGAATAAGAAGTTTAGATAAAAATATCTATACGATTATTAAGTTTTATCAAAATCGTCCATATTTAATTGCATTAGATAAGCTCAATTAAATCTTTTTAATCAATTATCAAACAAATGAGATCCAAAAAATAAACAAACCTAAATCAATGGATGAAAATGAGAAGTTCATTGTTCTCTACATTCCAGACTTTTATACTGGGGTTGATGCTAATGAAGATTATGCTTTTTTTGGTACCAATTTTGGATAAGTATTCGTATTTCAACAATCTTAAAAATAGTTTATCTCATTTATCAAGAGTCCAAATAAAAACATAACATAGATAACTGACATCAAATCTAATCATAAGAAACCTCATAGACTTCTTATTTCATATCAAAATATGGAGACATCATCATCTATGGTTGTAGTTCATTCCTTTTACAAAAATAAAGAAGTTTAGAGACTTGAATTCAATCCAACTTCTCATCAAGAGCTAGGTAAGGTTCTCACTGCTAGTTACAATCATGAAGCAAATAGAATTTGCATTGTGTTTAGTTCAGGAAAAGTGCAAATTTTCAAAGCTTAATCTAAAATTTAAGAGGGGAGAATAAGGCCATTGTAATAGCTAGAGCTTGATAATTTGTCTGAGCTTAAGTTTGCTAGAATCTCTTGGAGGAATGTAACAGACAGTAAAAGATAATGCTGCTTAATCTTTTACTCTTATCAAGTCAAGCATTAAGAATAAAGAGAAATCGCCATATTTTTGGGGTAAAAAGGAACTAAAGGCTCAACTCTCTTTTAAAAAACTTAATTCCTGAACTAACTTTAAGATTAAACTGAAGAGACTATATAGGATTGCATATATATTGACATCATGATTCCCAATATGAATCAGGCTATCACTGAAAATATTGGATAGAGGTATTTGAGAAATAAAAAGTAATCACTCCTCAAAGTAAGATCAAACAAATAAAAAATGGTCAAATCATAATTGATATTGGCTATTTCGTCAAGTTCAAAACTTTTCTATTATGATCCAAATAATTTCCCTACCGAAGAAAACTAGTCAAATTTCCAAAATTTTCTGCCATTAGAATTAAACTATCTTTAATCTAACACAATCAAATACCAGTAACTAATGTAGTTATCATAGATATCTAATAGCAAAAGAAATGATTTTGTAGAGTTTCTTGAATTAATGGGCAAATCTCAAGAAATTGAAAAGCTTTATATGATTACTAAGAATGACTAAAGATTTATAAAGGCTATTGAAAAGAAAGAGAAGTCTAAATACTCAACATGCAGCGAGCTCTATTAATATCTGACTAAGATCCTTATGAAAGTTTAAAATGCTGAGGCTGTTCTTGCATATCATATAGCTGTAGATATTTAGTAAAATTTAATAATAAGAAGAATAACTCAGTAAAAAAGTACCTAAATACTATGCATAAATCTTTAAGAGCATATATAGGATGAAAAAATAACTTAGCTCATTGTTGATGCTGAAAATCAAATGATACAAATATCAACATCAGGGTCTGATGTTTTTGAAATTAAAATGACTTAAGGCTTGTTTATTAGAGAGAAGGAAAAATTAGAGATCCCTTAAATTGATATTTAAAAGTAGAACTTAAAAGATTAAGAATCATCTGAAAGGCTCACAATATTCAAATAAGTTGATCATAACTCAAAATAGAAGTTGATGATTCTTGGGTTTAACAATGGAAGGGTTAAGATTATTAATACCAAGTCTTACAAAGTCATTTTCAATGTGAGATGCATGAATGATGAAAATGCAATTACAACTCTTGAAACTGTAAAGTCGAGTAGCGGAGAGTCAACCAGCATTTATATAGGAACTGGAAGTGGTCACTTGCTGCATATTTAGATTAACAGCAAAGAAACCAAGATTATCAAGTCAAAGCAGCTAAGCATCTTCAAAATAAGACAACTAATCGTTAGTGATAACAATATGATCTATGCTATCTCAGATAAATAACTATTTTGCGTTGAGAAATAATCTTTTAATATTAAGTACAAATATGAACTTAATTCTAAAGAACTTTCAAAGAAAGAGGTTTTCAAGTCTTTCAGTTTGATGAAATTAAATGAAAGCCAAAGTTCAATCGTTTGCTTTTTGCAAAAATCTAAATGGATTCTAATGTTTGACCTGTAAACACTGATATGCTATTGTGTCTATGATCTTAAGAAAATTGGATTTAATCCTTCATTTGTGCATATTCTCAATGACCTCAATTAGACGATTTTAGTATCATCTTAAAACCTTGAAACTCATATATTTACCTTGAAAAAATAAATAGAATTCCCTCAAGATATAGATTTGTATGAAAACTGCATTTTTGATGAGGAACTTGCAGAATAAAAATTCCCAAAGACATAAAAAAAATCAGCAATTACCCAAATTTTTCACAAAAATATTACTATATAAAAGTGCATCAATAAATAAATCACTAATGAGATTAAATCGAAAAAGAGATCTCACAGCTTAGGAGCAACTTTATTGAAAAGTGATGTCGAAACTTTGAATTTATTAAATATTAGGTAATCTGCCTGCAATGTAGTAAGTGATGGAGAAGAGTCAGATGAATCACCAAGGCTAAGAAAGAAATAAATTCAATAAATAGAGGCTTAAAGGGAGTAAAGAGTAAAAAAGGGCTATGCTATTCTTTCAAGGGTTAACAATAAACCCAAAAAGATACTGGAGGAAATAAAAGAAGAAGAAGCTAAAAAGTAAAAGAGAAACAGTATGGACAAAGATAAAAATAAGTAAAATGAAGAGAGTGAACCAAAGCTTAGAAGAGCAATATCAACAAACAAAAGAAGGAAAAGCCATTGGGTATGATTATAATAAATGGTATTTATTATTGGATTCAGAATTAATCAGTTTAATCTTTAAATCATAATCAACAAAAATATCATGTAAATCATTACGAAAGGGGTTTTGGGGTTTTGGGGTTTTGGGGTT